TCTAATAAATGTCCTCAAACAGAAAAATATAAAGTTGTATGACTCAACGTAATAAAAACGTAAATTAAATTGCAATTCACGGTTCACATTCACTATGTTTTTAAAGTAGGCAAGGTTATTTAAAAATATGTAAAGATGAATGTGGATGAAATAGATTAATATAAAAACGTAAAACAAATGTAAATAAAACGAAGCTGAAAATACAGTGGTCACAAAATAATGCTTTTAAGTTGAAATTCGTGTTTAAATAATCAATAAAAGAAATAAACTCGAAAAAAAACGCTTATGTAACGTAAAAGAACGTAAATACAACGTAATATAACTTGTCGAAATCACAGATTATGTACTCGTGTGGGGTCAGTAAATTAATAGAATATTTAAAATGTGCTAACAATGTAGATTCAAAATTATGAAACGTAATGATCAAATAAATGTCCCCAAACAGAAAAATATAAAGTTGTGTGACTCAACGTAAAATAGACGTAAATTAAATTAGCAATTCACAACCATTGTGATTTTAAAATTGGAAAGTTTATTTAAAAGTATGCAAAGACGAATGTGGATGAAATAGGGATATATAATAACGTAAAATAAACGTAAATAAAACTGAGCTGAAAATACGGTGGTCACGATAATAATGCCTTCAACTTGAAATTCGTGTTTAAATAATAATCAATAAAAGATTTAAAATCGAAAAAACGCTAATGTAACGTAAAATAACGTAAATATTTATGTTCAACGTAGGTTCAACATTATGAAGTGTATTTCAAATAAATCTCTTTAAACAGAAAAATATAAAGTTGTGTGACTCAATATAAAATAAACGTACATTAAATTATCAATTCACGTGTTCACGATCATTGTTTTTAAAATTGGAAAGTTTATTTAAAAATATATAAAGATGAATGTGGACGAAATACGTTAATATAATAACGTAAAATAAACGTAAATAAAACTGAGCAGAAAATACGGTGGTCCCGGTAATAGTCCTTTTAAGTTGAAATTCGTGTTTAAATAATCAATAAAACCGAAAAAACGCTAAGGTAACGTAAAATTACGTAAATATAACGTAAAATAACCTAACTAAATCGCAGATTATGAATTGGTCTGCAGTCAGCGCTTCTATGGCCACAATTAGAAAAATGTAAATTAATTACTTTAGTATAACTTAAAATAAACGTAAAAAAATATAGACAAATGGCGTCAATACATTAGCAATAAAAACCCGAAAAAATCAAACTGAACAAGACGTAACCGTCATCAAACTTGTGACTTTTCCAAATTATTTTCTGAACAAGAAAACAATGGAAAAAGTACCCGCTGAATCGAAAAATACGTTGTTTCATGTTGGCATACATAAGTTCAATATATTTTTTGACAATTTATTATTCCAAAGCACTAGAAATCAACAGTTCTTCAAAATAAATCAAGTTTCATCATTTTCAAAGCTGATAAAATCAAACTTGTCGACATTTTGCGTTTTTTGTTGTTTCCTGTGATCAGCAAATATTCGGCTAAATTTTAACGTCAATGTAACGTAAAAAAAATGCAAATTAAAACTTTGTGGTCTAGCTAATATGATCTTGCTAGCAATGATTATAAAATCTAGATTTTTCGTTTGAAGGGATGAAATCGAAAGTCTAGTCGTGACGTTATTTCAACGTTGCACAAACGTATGCAAATACCGATAATTAAAAACTCGCTCCAGAATTGTTTTGCACCATCGTATGCCTAAATGCCTCAATTTAAAGGTCATTAAAATAGTTAGCATGACAGAACGAGCCCGAGTCAATTAGGCCAGGATGGGGAATCCGTCCCTGCACAGAGGCTGCAGACCATCAGCCACCCCAGTGCTAAAAGCCTTTTGGATATTACATGTTAAAATGGGGGTAAGTAATTCGATTTGTGCCGCGTCTCCAACTAACGGCCTGTTCCCTGCTCGCGAACAGGACTTCGAACACTGCAGAGGGATATCTGTCGCATAATGAAATGTTTCATTAACTTGAAAACAGAGATCTCAGCAACGAACCGACCACCCTTAATGACACGCCTCATTCGATCGCGTTCTGCACCCAATTAGATTTTTCACCATTTTCATTAAATATCGTTCCGTTCTTGTCTATAAATATTCATAGAAATCAGATGAGGTTCAGGGATACATCCTCGATTCGAATTGTATTATGAAAATCTGGATTGATAAAGCAGTCAGTCCCACTCAGGAAATAAATATGATAGAGGAAGTAGCACTATCGAATAAATAAAATAGAGAGAAGAGTTCCTCGATGGCGGAAAATGCCATAAAATTGTGATAAAACAACCGCGATATATTCAGGAGACTACACACATAAAAAACAGCCAAGTCCACTGGTTTTTGCTCATTTTTATACGTAAATAAGTCACAAGTGCCGCTTCATTTACAACCATAAACCATAAAGGCTAAATTAATTCTACAACAATAAAGTATACAATAAAACATGTATTTATATACCTCCGCAAACATAAAAAACACACTATTCTTACATTTTATTTACCGCATACAACTACCATAACTTCAAATGACAACTAAACTAAGAGATTTTTAAATAAAATACAAATGCGAATTTTATGCATTATTTGCGTCCGCGTACATTTGACAATGTTATAACTTTTTTACATAAATATAAATCAAATGCATACAACAAAGTAGCAATGGAGCCAGAACCAATCCTTGTGGAACACTTGCGACATAACAATAAAAATTACATAAAAATGATTTATGACCATTTGCGTTATTAAACGTAAACTGTGACTTTACACATTAATTTTGCGATGTTTTTATCTAACTTACTTTACATCATTTTAGAATCAAAATTTCGAAATGCCGTGATTTTTTAAATTTTTGTTCTAGTTGGCCAAGACGCATACGGCAGTAGTGAAATTGAAACGGCTACGTACGCATCGTGGTCAACTAGAGCAGAAATTTAAAAAATCATCCGATGTCATAACGACATGTTTTTTTGCTTTAATGATGAATGAATTATAACATAGTTATACATTAAAACACAGATCAAAGATATTTTAAAAACTTTAAGCAATAATTCTAAAACTCGCTAAACTTGTGCTTACGTTGTTTTGGTTTTAGAATGTGATGTATGAGACAGTTTTATGGAGGTTCTCACTTCTATCCAGTTTTCGAACAATACATATATTGAATCTTCGGTACGATAATTTTTTAGTTTCTATAAAATCAGAAATTTGTAAATCCATCCTGTTTGTTATTTTTTTAAAGGTAATAGTGATTCGAAAAGATTTTAGATGGCGGTGCTCGTCGTCGTTAAGGTGGTAGGTAAATTGTTTGTGGCGGTAACGGTTTCGTGGTTGCGTGAATCTGCGAAGTCTAGTATAGAAGGGTTTAGAAAATTCCTTTGTATTAGGTCGCAATCGAGTGAGTTTGAAGCATATTGGTTCTTCTTTCCAGAGCGAGAGCGTTATATTTGGTGGGATATAAGTTGATATATGAGCCATATCGCGCGATCGGGCTACAGGAAAACGCATCAGTTCAAATAGATGTCAGAAATCAATACATTCAATCGCCTATACGTTAAAAGCTTTTCAAAACAAACTGTTTGGATACCGTCAGTTGAAAACATAAATACATAATATACTATAAAATATTAAAAAAGCACGAAAACTTGGCTCGTATTTCAGCGTTTTCCTGATTTTTCTTTAATAAATTGCTTTTCAGAAGTCTTTGCAAATAATTCAAACTGAACCTAAAATCTAAACAAATATCTATAACATATAGCTGATGCCATCAGCAACACGGCGCGCTTTTCGGCTTACGTCACGTCCAGACACGAATCAGCACATATATTATTATTCGATTGTTTATACACGATACGTTGTAGAAAAATCGGCGGCACACGTGTTTTTTGCAATAATTGGACTGCTGAAACTAAATGTAACACATTTCGGTGTGAAACGACGTCCAACAAATAGACACCACCATCCATACAAGATAACTAAATTTAACTTTAATTAAGATTAATGATATGCAGAGTAGTTCTATCTTCAGTTTAGAGGCCGCCACTTCCGTTCCCCCACCATTAACATCATCTACAGCTTTTAGCCTGATCCCGATAAGGTTGTTTGCACCAAATCGACTTCTGCGCTGCCGTTTCAGACGCTTTTATCCACCGATTGAAAGTTTCCAGCTTCCAGCGGAAACGTTTTGCGCTTTTTTTTGTACAGGAAAAATGTAGTCGGAATATACGGACGCAGGAAAACGAACGATCCGTCGGATTTTTATTAAAATGAATAAAAATCCGGCTATCAATGGAGTTTATAAGGCGAAACTAATGGCGGTCGAAAATGCGTGTATATAAAGTTATAACGAGAGATAATAAGGAAGGAAGGAAGGAAGGTGTGCGTATGTGCGTTTGAGGGAGTGCGAGATGAGTATGAGGTCGGAAGTCCGGCAGCGGGCGGTCGGTCAGTCGCGGAGAAACGAGAGCGGCAAGCCGCCAACAGGCCAGGCTTTCGTGTGCTCAAACCTTTCTTCCACCGCTAACATGTTTATGCTAGTAAAATACCTCCTTACAGATTGAGTCCCATGTATACTCCGATAATAGGAGTCCGGAGGGGGTAGGGCGGTCTTGCAACCAATGCGGGCGGTTCCAGGGAAGAGCGGCGTCGCCAATCACGGCGTTGTTCTGCGCCCGCCGGTCCTCCTTCCCGCCAATGAAAAAAGCATTAATCTCTTTTAAAAATAGAGCAGTGTGCAGCCACGCAGCCGGGCGACACGCACAGACCGGCCGAATTTCCCCTACCATAAAGGCCACCGTAATGAGCTTTAACGGTAGCACATATTTAACATGCACTACAGTTCATAGACATCCCCACCGCGGCGACTGCTGAGTCACCTTGCCTCCGCCCACTGCCTCAGTCATTGCTCACCTCAAGCTTTAAGTCAGTTCACCGCCAACTCCGAATCGCGCGAAGTTGGCCCCGCGAAGTGCTGTGATGTGCAGTGCTAGCCACGTGTTGTGAGAGAACTGACCAGTCCTGGTGACGCGCACCGCGTCCTTACCAGCAACCACGGCGTCTCCCGAAGCAATGACGCAACACAGCGACGCGTCCAGCGACCGTTCCGAAGTGTCCGTGACGCCGCCCCCGCCGGTCTCCAAGATGCTTGAGTTCGCGAGCCAGCAGAACCTCAGCTTCCTTAACATTGAACACCGGAACATGCTCGCCGCCCCGCTGGCGGCGCTCCACTCCATGACGGAGATGAAACAACACCAACACCAGCACCACCTCAGCCCGGACCACGTCCACGGCCCCGAGAAAAGCGACGATGTCCTGCTGGAGCGTACAAGCTTACACGTAGAACGCTCCGGCTTGACCTCGCGGAGTCCCTTAGGGGCCACGAGCAACAGCAACAGTTCCCAAGGTGCCAACCCACACGGCATCGACCACATACTCTCTCGACCCTCGCAAATCACGACGGGCCCGCTGCACTTCCCGCACAGCCTCGGCTTCACCCAAAACACCCTCGGGATGGCCTCGAACAGCGCTCAGAGCGCCTCGAACTCCGGTCTGCGAGGATTCAATATCGCCGCCGCTGCCTTCTTCCACCACCACGCCGCCAACTCGGTCAACAAGCCGCCCGTCGAACTCGGAAGGAGCACCGGGGGTCTGTACTGGCCCGGCTTCCAGGGACTCGTCTCCAACCCCATGGCCTGGAGGGACCGGCTCAGTAGCAGTAAGTCTGACTTGCATGCACAAGTCCGCTCAAAACCGGTTCCTCCGATCTCAATCAATGCCCGACGCAGAATTAATTTGATGACCTGCGAACAGTCTTGCAACAGTGCGTGCATGATGCGGCATGTTGATGACTCCACGTTCTCGCCGAGTTTACCTGTACGGCCACATAATTCCTATCGTAAACACTGTCACCCTGCGCAATCCAATTCAAGTCAAATGTTTGTTTCGCCACATCACAAATAGAATATGGTTTCTATCTAAGTTAATCTATTTGTCGGTTGCAAACAATTCCCCCGAAACCCGCTAATATATCGACTCTTGCATTTTTCTTCCCTTTACGATCCGACGTTAAACGAAACGTAGGTCCTTCCATCAAAAAAACAAACTTTATATTTTGTTTTCGTGATTATCGATGACCGAAAGTTATAGGATAATGAAGAGAAAATAAAAACGAGTCCGCGACGGAAGGAAAAACTAGATGGACCATCAAATAGTAGAATATAGGAAATAAAAAATAATAAAACGATGATTGAAGTTTATGTTACAGTTGGATGCCGTAATTTTATGGAACGATTGAGAAACGAAACAAAGATAAAAGTTTGCTCACTGAATTGAAACTCTGTTAGAGACATTAACAAACAAATTGCCTCGGGAAAAATCTGAACAAATGTTTGTTTTAGTAATTGTACGGGGTCTGTTCGCTCGGTTAGTTAAAGCGTTGGCCCTACAAAAGGAAATATCAATTGTTATTCCTTACAATAATATTTTGATTTCCCTCTTTGAGACTATTTATGTTGAATCTGGTATCAGAGAACGACCTTTACCACAACGATAAAAAAACGGAAAACATCAAGGGTTTGATCATTTCGGAACTTGCCTGATCAAAAAGTGAATTTTGAGTGTAGTACATGTTTGACGACATCGCTCAGAAAATGGAGTTTGATTCTAATTAAAATGATTAATCACCGCCCCTTGCTGTTATCTATTGTTTATATGCGTGTAATGACTGAAATAATGATTATTATTCGAGAATGTAGGCGACATATGCTTTTCTTCATTAGTGCAGTTGATTAGGTGATATCAATACTAATTCCGTTATCGCACCGAGAGGCACATATGTTTGGAGCATTATTACATCATATATCACAATATACAAGTATAGGTGATTGCGGCCAGTTAGACTAGAGTCGAGAGCGAGCATTCACCCCCTCTCCACCCCCTACTGAAACGCTGGGCGCGGATACGTAATGACCGGTGACGTATGTGTTATTTGTTTGGCGCCATCTGGCAGTAGCGTTATTAACTTGGCAAATCAAACAAGCCCAGACATTAATTACGAAGATCTGATAGCTGTCGTCCGATTCGAACCTTGTTTTCAAACATCTCCTCATATTTTATACTTACATTTTTATATATAAATCACCGTCAACGACCGATACGCAGCCCTGACAACCGATTTCGCGTTTATCAAAAGTTCTTACGCTTTTTGGCTCTCCCTATATATGTATAGGTGCTGGCGCAGACCATAAAGGCATGACCACTTCACTAATAGAAGAGGCCGGATATAATTACCCTATAATCTCAGCATATGTTGTGTCGATGTTATCGTTATTCCATGAGAAATATCTATTTTATGACTTGTAAAACTTGATAACAATGCACTACAATTTACACCTTGCAATAATGGAGCAGCTGGATTTATCGCATTCTATTGGAATTAACTTGACGATTTGCTAACACGTTATCAGGGCAACTGTGATTGCTGCAGACAAATGGGGCATTTAATACTCCCAAGCGTATATTCCACACTTATACCTGATGTATGCAAAAATTTTGCTCTTTCTTTCCACAATCGACACCACATTTAAATACGGATCAATAATAAAGAAAATATATTATTTTTCATAATACTTCATTTCCCGATAGACTTAAACGGTTCTGCAAGATTATGTTCTGTGGTTTCTATAACAAAAAAAAAATAAGTCGATTATATCATACAGGCATGTATTTAAGAGGAGAGGGACAATAGAATTTAGACCCTTCCTCCTAAACATGTCAAAAAATTCAATAAATTACCACACTAAGACTAAAGACTTATTAATGTTTTATATGCTGCAGTGACAAAGCGTTCTAAATTAAGTCTATAAAGTTATGAATTACTTATATATTTCTTAATAATGGGTGTGGCGACATTTAATAAATTTCAAACATTTCTTGTCAGATTAGAAAAGCTGTGAAAAGTGTAATCAGCTGTCTTCACAATTCAGGTTGAAACAGATTAAAATAAGTCTGCGCATGCGCGTCCACTATGTTAGAAAATTTTTGGAAATTTTAAAACTTTTTTGACTACAGTTCGTGACTTGTACATTTCCTATATAGTCACAGTATAATAAATGTAAAAATGTCTATTGCATGTATAGTCCGACAAAAGCTACAATGTAATTAAGCTTGTAAAAGAATTTTTCCTAAAGTGTAACGGTGCGATGCGTCTGCGTTATAGCTGTTGTCAGTTTGTCAAATTTGTGTACAAAGTGTGGCCCGTAATGGCCGCGCAATATCTCCGGTATATAAATTTAATTAAGACAACTTTGTCTTATGCTCGTAATAAACAGTTATCTGAAGTGTGCGTCGTATAATAGCTAACATGGTCGACATGATGGCTTTTGCGCGAGGTACGGCGTTATAACAGCCAACTTCGCTAATTGAAGACCCTAGTACTGAATTACTTGTTCATCGCAGCAACATTTAACGGTCTGTCATGTTACTGTTCTGCCGTTCAACCCGGTTTTACTGCCTCCACCATCCGAGTTGGGGTAAATTTACTCCACGTCCTAAACCGATGCCACCGCTTCCTTATTAATTTTCAACGATCGAGGCTCACATTCGCGACCACTTTGCCCTGGTGTATTACGGACAATTGACTCGATGTACGAATAATTGATTCCGTATTTTTATCGGACGTATTGCACCCCATACAGCACTTTATTCACGATGCCATCATGTTCTCGCCTATCAATTTGCGTACCTTTTAATTGAAACAATAAAACTCCGCCAACCCCCGCGGACAAGTCGGGTTATTATTTCGGTGGGGCACCAATAAATCTCGTCGTAAAAATTTTACTGCATTTGCTATCTTAAAAGCTAAATAGACAATCGCATTAAAACTTAATGATTCTACTTATGGCTTACAATCTAAGGTTGTGTTCTTTCGACAAACTTAAAGTGAAGGGGACAGCCGTTACTTCGCACTCGTTCGACTTTTCCTCACGTTAGACACATTCGTCCGTCAAGGAGTGGCGATCATACCGAAAAACGCAACGACACGTACGAACTTAGCACGTAATCGGACGGTCAAAAGACACAAAGTGACACGGAGATGAGGCCTTCCTCGCAGCGAAGTGAATACGAGTCGAATTAAACACTATGCGTTCTACGGATATTTTTCGGAAACGACCTTGAGATGCAATAACGAAATGGATAAGTTTGGAGAAGACTTCGGGGTATATTTGGCGTGTACTTGTGACGCAGCAGCGTGTGTTAAATTTTGCCGGCCGTTTGTCGTCGTTTGGACGTCAATGTGGTAATTTCGGAGTGAATGAGGCCGCGGTGTGGGGTGTTATCGGGGCGGTGTTTGGCATGAGAACGATGGTATCGATGGTCGTCGTCCGATTAAAAGAGTTAGAGATGTAAATTAGAGCTCGGGAAAACGGCGCGACGCAGCACCAGGGAGATTGTTATCATCACAATCCATCTTCCGTATCGGGCGAAGTGTTGTGCGTGTCGTGTAGAACAAGCATCACCATTGTAGCAGTGTTTCTGCGGTTGCTAGAGGCGGTAACCTAGCAACGGAAGCGGCTGAGGGTGGGAGCAGCCGCACCGATCGAGCAAGCTGTTTTAAGCAAGACACCCTGTTAGAATAATTATATCTCTAGATAACGGGATCATGAGATTATCCACTTTAGTATCGCCCCATCTCGCTTATCTACACACTAGCACTCTCTTACATGCTGCCGTTATGTCTGTTACGCGTTATCCTTCTCCCAATATGAATAATTCCTTGATTGCGCTTTCATGAAACATAAGCAACAAGATGTACAAGATCTCGGCTCCCGGCGCCCCCTGGAAGGCACGCGGTCCAGGGAAGGTGAAGACTGAAACATTATTAGTTTGTAATATCTTGGCCATATTGGGAAGTTTCTCAGGTCTTTATTGATCGCCATGATTTACGAATACATGTTCACTATTCTCGCACTGCCTGAACATGGGAACATCATCTGAACAGGCGGATTTCGACGAATATCAAGCCGATATCGGCAGCTTCCGTAAGATGTTCGAACCGAGACTATAGATGCATTATTGAATTTGTTCCCGGCTTATATGTCCCAAGAGGAACATCTAACGCTACATCCTGCGTTGTCAGCATATATAGATTATTATATAGACATCTGGTCTGTTCAGTGTAGAATCTTACAGATATAAAAGTATCGACTTCGACACAATGGAAACCTAACCTGGGCTCTTTTGCATCCACCGCGATATTCTCAGAACCATATTGCCAATATAAACTCAAATAGTCCTATAAATAATCTCGATGTTCCAACAATACATCCTATAATAGCGGAAGCACGTGTTCCGGGAATACAGACAGCTTTTTAAGGCCGCGTCGGCTTTTAGATGGAGACATACCCAAAACTGATTATCTCGCATTTGCACCCTCTCAAATTCCTCATTACACATGGCGCCACATCTTCTGACTACAAACTATATCTCAACGTCTTCAAAGAAAGCAGTTCTTGGGATTTCGATTCACCGTCGTTACTCCAAAAGTGTTACCCTTCAAATACTCCAAATCGTTCTTCCCACCCAGAACACATTTCTGCCGCCAGCAGGTGTGTTCTGATCATTGGTCAAAGTCTACCGAACACCGTTAAAACAGGAGCATCAATGCAGCTTAGCCCCTTCCAACGTAACCGCATCAGAATCGGTCGAGGAAAAAGGGATCAATGTCTCTCGCTTCGCTAATTAAGTTTGCGCACTTTTTAAAATTGTTAATTTTATCAAGACTTTTTCCTCGCTTTAATTAGTCTTCGACGGTGGCTCGTATGAGCTTGAATTTTTGCGTCGCGTTTCTCCGCAGAGCTCGTCAGGCTTGTAACATGTGTTGAAAGAGCGAGATGAAGAGATTTTAGTTAGGTAGTGATTTCCTGAGTGAATTCCGTATTCCCGTCACATTTTCGTTGTTTTGCCGTTTCGTCTCGGTTAACTATTGGATTCTTTTTAGAGTGTGCGAACGGACACTTTATAAAGAAAGCAAACAAAATTCAAATCGCTAAAACTGAAACTTGCGTAATAAATTAACCCCGTATGGGGCGATTTAAAAGGCAATCAACGCAGCAACAAAACTGTAAAATGGCATATAACTTGCCCATAAAATAAATTTCGCACAGGCACGCACTGTTACCGCGATGATCATGAGGTTGTAAACTTTTCATCTCGAATTTGTCACTTAAACTGTTTCTCTTTTCCAGTGAACCAAAGCAATATGGGCGGGATTGGGCCAGACAAAGACGCGAAAAAGAAACACACGAGGCCTACGTTCTCAGGACAACAAATTTTCGCCCTGGAGAAAACCTTCGAACAAACCAAATACTTGGCAGGCCCTGAAAGGGCGAAACTCGCCTACGCCCTTGGGATGACGGAGTCACAAGTAAAAGTAAATCGGTTTTTTCTTGTTCAAACATTCCATCGACTGCTGAAATTTCGACAAACGCTCACTCTAAGTAGACCTACTGATCCACATTAAGATTTCATTCACTAATTAATTACTTTATAATGAACCTGCGGATGTTAATCCTTTTGGGAGGATTAGATCTTGTTAAAGCGTCGTTAGCAGAACGAATATCTGCACGAGTTCCCGTTAATAACATTCTTTTACATGCGGCTGCCACCGCTCAGGACGTCTAACACAATTTCCTTATCTATTGCTACTGATAATAAAACGGTTACATAAATTAACTTTCGATTCTGGGATGATATACCCACTCTAGACGGTTTTATTTGTTGACGGATGGGTAACTAAGGTAAACATTAACCCCCACTCGTGATGGGATCTATCTATACATAAAAAATTAAGCCTTCAGACTTCTGTAGACGACACTATTTTTAGCTTGAAAGTTTTTTCTTTTGTTGTGTTTTATAATTGTAATTTTGAATGTGGTTGTAATAGTTAGCGGTAGCGGCAGCGAACGTGTGAGTAAGAGAGAGACAAATGTATCACCTTTGAGTGTGGTTAATTTTGTATTTGCGTATTCTCCTGAAGGCGCTGTTGCCTTTAGGTCGAGGTGGACGGCCTGGAGCGTTTTTTGTCTCTGTTCGTTAATTTCTGGTGGATTAAGGCCGGGGAATGCGTGTGACTGATTGGGGATTTGGTCGAAATGAGTCCCATTTGAAGGTTCGTAATATTTTGACGCAAAGAAGAAGCGTATCGGAACATTAATCTGAATTTAAATAGGCGGATGAAATGTTGAGAAATATGTTAATTTTTCAATTATAAATCTAATATAAATATGTTAAATATCTGGTCGGCAGTAAGTCGAGCGTATTGAAAACTGTCAGTCGGCGATTAGGCCGGCTTCGGCTCAATATATCGGCTCGTTTCAAAATGAATCCGATTAACTTTAAGTATGTTGTGGGGTTAAAATAGGCCGAATCGAAATCCCCCATGAGTAATTCGGTGGCGACGCGTGTGCCTGCGATATGTTCGGAATTAATGAAAACAGAGCAGTCCGGGAAGTCGGATCGGGGCTTGACGAACGTTTTCGACAAGTGTAAATGCCCCCCTTTTGTTACTCTGTAAATTTGCATTTTTATTGAATCTCTAGCCACCGAGATTTGAATATAAGCCTGGATGTTGACAAAAAATAATACGGCTAATATTGAGCTTCACCGCACTTCCACGACGCGCTTTTTAAACAACCACCCACTTTTTCGCTCACAAAGAAATCCCTTTCAACAAATCATTCCGCGCTCAGCCGCACAAAGCCCACTGCGACAACCGCAAGCGCTCACACTTTTCACCTCACAAAATTAACTATACCCAACAACGGCATTTATACGTTCGCCGACTACCAAAACCCACTGTCTTGAGAAAAACGTATTAGCAACTTGATCTCAAACACATTAACCCGTTTATGCCAAAACGCAAATAACGTTGCTTTCACGTATGTTATTAACCTATACAAAATACCCGTAATGAGAGTCACAACTACGTTATTTAAACGTTAATTTAATACTATCCGACAATATGTTTCTTAAAACACAACATTTCCTTCAACAGACACTACTCATTAAAAAAACGTTATTTTTACGTTTGTTCTTCAAATCAAATTTTCAGTGCCTTTACTTACAGTGTTAGATAAATACTTCCTGTCATTGAAAAATCTAACGTTGTTTTTACGTTTACATATAACCAAAAATCTACGTATACATTTCATATATTCACACAAGAACATTTTTTAATTTATAAGACAAAACGTAAAAACAACGTTGAAAAATCTAACGTTGTTTTTATGTTTACATATAACCAAAAATCTACGTATGCATTTCATATATTCACACAAGAACACTTTTTAATTTCTAAGACAAATTACGTTGTTTTTAGGTTTCTGTTTAACCAAAACCCTAATATTTAAGTTTGCTAATATTGAATTTTTATTATTATTAATTACAATGTTGTGCCTTTCGAGTAAACAAATGTTTCATTTTCAAAATTCTTAGTCGTGTTTATCGTGTAAAATAACATTCACATGTGCGTGTTCCTTTGTACGTAAATATATAAAGCTCAAGTGACAATTTGCCACTCCATAATTAGTGTTGCGTGTTAATAAATTATGATCAATTTATGTGACAAGCAAGGGACGCCCGAAAAAACATAATTATACGTCCCAAAAACATAACGCTTGTTATACGTATTTTAAACGTTTGTTTTGTATTTTGACCTTTTGTAAATTGATTACTGTTAATGCCATCAGTTATATAGTTACATTTAATATACGTACATAGGTTACGAAAATTTGTGGTAAATTCTCAACGAGGGTTTAACGTGTTTTAAAATAAGTACACTGGCGTTTATTAAAATCTTATCCTTTACTACTGCAATAAAGAATGATCATGAACTAAAAAACGTATTAAATAGTTAACAAAGCAACGTTATTTTGATGTCCAAGTAACGTTATTTTTACGTTTTAGTGTTTCATGGATCTTAAAATACTAAAATCTTGGATTTTATCCGTCTGATTTTTAATCCGTGTGTCACTGTGTTGTCACACGTCACAGAAGAACAGCATAATGAAATGGCGTATTGATGTAAATGGGTTTGCTATATTTTTTTTGAGCGCGTCGTCGGGCGATTTGTTCGTCTGTCATCGTGTCCATGGCTGTCTTGTGATGATATCAATCAGATCGGGGAATCCAAATAGCAATGACGATGTTTGTTATAAACAAGTGGCGCCCCCAGCGGAACCCGCCGCCCTAATTCAATTTGTCAGGAGATTATACGGCACAGCCGCACACCCTCCCTTAAACGATACATCATACAAGTACAGCTGCAGCCATAGACGGTGACTTAAGGGGTACTAAGGACAGACAGTGATTCGAGAATATTCACTAGTCGCGCAAAAATTCCGGTTAAATTAATGAAATCGCGGTGAGAGTGGCGTAAAAATTCGACGCCCGCTGCGAGAGCTATTCATATTTAAATTTAATTAAACTTGTAACAAAGATAAAATTAATTTTTAATTTCTGGAGCTAGGTAATGAAGGTCGGAGATCTTAAAAAGTAGACGTTTAGTTGAGTTTTACGATGATTTTCTCAGCGGTAAAAGTGCAGCTTGGGGAGAGTTTTGTCCAGATTATTTTTTCTTGTATTCTCCGAGGTCCCTTTAGTTTAATGAAGCCGCGGTTTAATAGCGCCTCGTCTTATTATTTATTTACTCGCATCAAATACCGAGCTTTCCCCTCGGAAGTGCATCCGTACCGAAGGATTTAATTTACAAAAATGCGGAATGTTTTATGATAATAAAACTGCGCTCAGATTAAATAAAAATGCTAAATAAAAAGCTCTCGAGAGAATTAATAAGTTTGCGAATCTCGACTAGTCCCGCTTTGTTAAGCTCCAAATGGGACGCCAGAACCCACACGCTCGTCTAAACATCACCGTATTAAACACTAATGAATTATGCTTTCACTTTAATTCACTCGTTTTCATTACGCCATCTTGCACTCATAATCGCACGATCTCTCTTCTTACAAACTTTTATTGCCCATCCTACGCCAACTAAATTGCTACAAACTATCAACCCTGATCAATCATTATCAAACAAACAAGAAAACAAATCCGTCTCCTTCGTTCCTGCTCATTTTTTAAAAATCGCACATCCGGAGATCTTCCACGACTATCGAAAGAGACGCAAATATGATTTTGAACGCATAGCCACTAAACCAGACAAATCGGACCTAAAAATGGCGCAGCAACAAGAACTAGACATCGGGAACTCATTAATTTATAATATATAAAGATAGGTATAAAAATGGTATATAATAAGGAACAAGGTCTTAATATCAGTTTAACTTTTAATTTAGTAGAATTTAGTATGACAAAATTGTGTGTTGGGTTAATTAATCTTGCTGATTCGTTTCATTTCAACATCGCGCATCCGAGAGTTTTACTTTCCGTCGCTCGACGGAGATCCAAAACACGGATCCGAACGCATAGTAACTAAGAGGGATGGAATAGACTTAAAAGTGGAATAGAGTAAGGAAGGCGACATTGAGAATCGTTTAATTTTAGTTTTGGCGTAATTTGGTGTCAGCCGGGCTAGGGTAAATAGATAAAAGTGTATGTCTGGCATGAAGCAATGTTAATCGTGCGTAATTATTGAGTAATTTTGTCGAAGCGATGGTAAATAACACATGGTTATGACGTGACGTTGGTGCGTTCGTTTTGAACGTTTTGTAGTTCATATCGCGTATCAGAAAACGCCTGATAAATATTAAAATGATGTGTGCGTTCGGATGTCGGGTCATATATTCAATTTAGTGTCGGACTTTATGAATCGTCCGTCCAACTTTTCCCGAATACAATTCGAGTTATCAAAATGAAAACGTTGCAATATAGCGTTTGAACAGCTTGGTAGGCGAAAAAAGTCCAGTAAGTGATTTTGCGAGATGTTCGGTAACATGGGGTCATTTTTGCGGGTGTTTACGAATTAGCATGTTAATTGCGTGTTTTTGCGGCAGCGCGCGGGCGGGGATTGACGCGGCGCGTCAGTAGCGCGCGCGATAGAGAAAACGCGCGATAAATATTAAAACCGGAATGAAATGGACATAGCGCTATCAAAGCGTAATATTTACCGAATTCAATTAACTGATATATCCTATATAAATTTCCCCTTACAGCGGTGACATTCGGCGTGGCGGAGTGATTCCAACCCCCTTGGCCGGCCGCCATTGCTGTCGAGCCCCAATCCATCATGCACATGACACATATAGAATTTTATTCTGCGGTATATCGATGCATTGGTCCAGAACCGGCTCTTCCCGAAATGACGGTTTGATTTATTGCTGACGTCGCTAATCTACGTGACGTATATATGTTTTTATTGTTTGCGAGCGCGAAACGTCCGGTTTTATAATTCCAGATAAAATCTGTATGAGTTACATGGCGGGGGTGAGGGCCGATCCTGTGCCCGCCCTAATCCCCGGTCGCTATGTAAATGCAGGGTCATTAGTGTGTCGTTAACCGTTAACGTAAGGCGACCGAATCGATTAACGCTAAGTGACTGCGTAATTAGCTGTACATGTTGCCGCGCTGCTGCGGAATGTGCGCCACCCCTCATCTCCGCGCTCTACACCACTTGGCTTGCAAATTAAGGGCCACTCACTCGCAATTTGTTTCCACGCACCGACATTCGCCCTCATATCATCTCCTCAATACACTCTAATTAAATCCGATCCGCTATTCCAAACAAACTCAAAATCGCCGCCGCCGCCCAAACTCTCCTCCACCACCACCAAAAAGAACCGGCCACCCACATGTCTCGCACCAAAATCGAACATGCATCTCCGGAAACCGGTTTTCGGCCTTGAATCAATTCTGCGAAATCGTAAAAACCGGTTGAGTTCTCACCGCCGATTCGGGGTAAGTCTTTACTGTATTAGTCCTAAAAATTGACGAATTCGAATGTTAATTAAAATTTATCGTATCTACAATCTGGAAAAGATTGAAGATACCATTCCACTTTTTAATTCTAGCATGTTGAGACCGGTTGGGGTTCGTCATTCTTGGTGAAAAAACCGGTTTTGTGCACTGTGTATACCGTGCAAAATCTAGCCCCACAAAAACGAAAAGATAAGAATAAATAAAAATAGTACAGCTCTGCAACTTTATTAATTTCGTGAACTTTGCACTAAACTTTTTCTTAAAATGTAAAACAAACTAATAGAAACTTCCGGAAGTTTGGTGTGAAACGATGATGGTGTTCGATTTTTCTTACAATGTAACAAAAAGTGATTTTTTGTGTGAGAAAGGGTCTTTTCGACGTGTAGTTGGCGGTTTGTTTATTTAAAAATACGCTTAGGACATCACAAACTCAAGTTGATGTTTTTCATTAAAAATTCACCCTCCTCTAATAACGAAGTCAGAAAAACGTGATAAATCACTGCCGGAAAAATTAGCAGTTGTCTTATCTTCACCATCAAATAACTGTAATTAATTTTGTAATATTTCTCCTCAATTACGGTAAAACCTACCGGTTCGATAGCCGGCGATTGAAATATAACAAGACATTTAAAAATAACTAAAATAAAAGGCAACATCTTCTGTTTAATTGATGAGATTTCCTTCTCGCGCATATCGAACCGGTAGAGCGTCGCGTTTCTCCTCCCTGTATTAACTGCGAGACCCTATTTTCATGATTTATGGTCGTACTATAGCTCTAAATACCGTGTAATTCGCAAATTTAATATATAATGGCTGTGTTGTACAGAAATCGCTGAAAACATGTAGCCCGTTTCGGCTGTTTAGCAGTTTTGCGGAAGGTTAAACGATACATTTGCACCCCTTGTTCGACTAAAGAAAGCTCCGCCTTTTCTCCACCCTTAAGGATGTTTGCGACCAGGTCTCTACTCCAGACGCCACTGCTTTCTCGCACACTCTGATAAAACTTTTATTAATTACACTTCACTCTGAAACATGGCTGCTTTCTCAAAACACAAAGATTAACCGACGTAAATGCTACGATGTAATAAACATACATTGGTTACGTATCTGCGACATCGCGATCATATCTTGGTGTTACATATATGTAACAATCTTTTTCCGTTTTCGTGTTACATGTATGTAACAAGTTTTTCTTTTTTTAGGTATGGTTTCAAAATCGGCGCACCAAATGGAGGAAAAAGCACGCGGCCGAAATGGCGACAGCAAAGCGGAAACAGGAAGTGCTGGACAACCAGACGGATGAAAATAGTGACGTCATTTCCGATACCGAAGATGAGCACGCAGCGAAGAGACAAAACATCCAATGAGAATCGGAACTTATAAAAGTCTAGACATTGACGTTGTAAATATGGTTTAGTGATCTCAGTGTTTGTGAAGACTTGTGCGTGAAACAGGACGTTGTGACGCGCTTTGTAAAAATGTTATATATCTATAAATATATGTATACGTATGTATAATGCTATTTATTGTTCATTTCGATTCGGCGAAAAAAGTGCAATTTTGCTAGAACGTTCTGATTGGCCGTAATTACTGTATTATTTTTTCTTAGCGAAACGTAAAATTGGACAGTTTTCGCGCCAAGACTTGTACAGCAGCTTAAATTTTGAAAATTTTGGGAATGGTATTTTTCATTGTACATAAAATTTTCTTTTGCATTTGAAAGCAATATTTACAGGGTGATTACGGAAATAGGCTTCTGAAAAATACTATTCCCATTTATTATTTTGAGTTATGAGCTCAACGCCGCTCGAAAACGAGCTGCAAATTTTAGGTTTGTGTTGAACATCGTGCAATCTTCTTACTATAGGACGCGGCATTTTGCAGCTAAATAATGTATATTAAAATGTATTTGTAATATTAAAATAAATATGTTCAAGTGACTCATCTTCGTTTTTGTATCAACGAATCATGTACACTGATAATAATAGCTAACATTCCAATAAACATAAGCCGATAACGATAATACACCTTCATAAAATTATTCTTAATTAACTTGTAAATTCTGTCAATAACGTTATGGAATTCCGTGATATACACTTATATTAAAAAAACATATGCATAATTTTATATTTACTGATATTGCGATAAACCGTATGGCTATGCAAGCTCAGGTATATTATGACCGGATAACTATAATAATGAACCGGTGTATAAATACACACCACAAATGCAACACCAACATAGACAAAAACCGGTTATGGACGCCTGAGACGGCATAAACCGGTTTCACGCTCATGCACCAACTAACGAAAAACCGGTTTGCAAAAAACCAAACGTAACGAAAAAGTGGTTTTCAAAATTTTCAGTCACAATTCTGCGCACCCAATAGAATAAAAACAACATAGGGATCAGAATCAGGTCGCAAAGTGTAAGATTAAATAAAAGTAGGATTCATATTAAACATAAAAATTAATCCTCTGACTATACAGCGACTGTTGGTAATGGAAGTGCCGCCATGTCTTAATTCCACTAACAGTTAACTTAAATATAAAACCCCATAATCGTTACTAGGAGGAATAAATTCGGTGATTCTCGTGTTAACTTCTAGGATTTAGAATGAATATAGTCGGGTTCGTTCGATGTCCCAGACAGTTTTAAGTCGGATTTTATGATGAAGTGAGATGCAGCAGCTAACAATATACGTCTACAATTGAGATTATATTATGTGTATTAATTTTTTTATTGAAGTGGGGAGTGAGGGAGCGGACGCTTTGATAGGTAAGATCTCATTTGTAGATAAAAATGCGCAAAGCCATCCCTGTCGTGTTGTGTACATATGTAAATCCAAGTTTTTCGTGTAAGATATGCAACTTGATTTATCTACAATGCAGAGCGGGGAGAAGAGATAGGTGGCCAGGCGCCAGGACGTTGCCTTGACGACGTCGCCATCGCCTCCTACGACGCTGACGCCCGTCGAAGCCATGTCCTTACCCTCGAGGTCTCCACATTATGTACCTAACACATTTTCCTCATTACCAACATTTTTTTTAATAAAAAAAGTACACATCAGAAGCGGGATTAGGTACAGTTGCACGTGTATCGAAAAAATGGCGGCTCAATCATCACACACTCGCTTAAATTAAGACTCGACTTACACACTCTACAAATCAAAGCTCAAAAATAGAAATGGCGGCTCAGCGAATTTATTCCTCCACTTTTTTTTCGAATTTGTTGATTCAGGAGTGGGATTAACACGCAATTAATGTCCCAAAAATATGTGCAACGTGAAACAATTTGTGGTGGATCTGCTAAGTGAATTTACATGGGTCATTTAGTTCGGAATGGCTCCGGTCCTATTATAAACGTTTACATTAAAAGTTCATCGCCGTAATAGTCCCTTTACGGTATTTAGCAACACGTTTATTTAAAGAGATGCATAGTTATAATGAAGTTTAATTATGATAAGTTATCTGCAGTTGCTCGTTCATAAATCACAAATATAATTAAATCGTTGGTCGGCAAGGCACAGCGCTACAGTCTCACCCTAATTATATGGTCGTACATGGAGAACAAGGGTTCCGGTCTGCTCAGTGGCGCATCCTTTTTTCGCCACCGGAGGCCCCGCTGTCACCACTGTGCAAACTTCACTACAGTAAAGAATCTCTTCAGTACACAACTACCACTGCATAAATCACAAAAATACTTAAATAGTTACAAAAATTGAAATTTTCTAAAGGTAACTTGTCACACTAAGTTAATCTTGCTTTATATACATAGGTATATATCAATAAATAGCTTGTCAAGGCCAACCTGTTTTTTCCCAGGACCTAGCTCCTGTATTTGTCGATCTATTGGTAAGCGGTAAAAATTTACCGCCAACTTAATTACATGCGAAAATTGAATCGACTACCTTTCTCTGTGTAAATCCCAATTGGCATTAAATTTAGCTTTTATATACCTCTACTAATAAGGAAGCGATGCTAGAATCGTCGAACAATGAACCCAGCGTTGTTAAAAACAATGCATAAATCACAAGAATACTTAAATAAGTACTCTTGTCAAGGCCAACTTGTTTTTATTCCTAGGACCTAGCTGCTTTACTTGTCGAGATATCGGTAAGCGGGAAAAATTTACCGCTCAGCTAATTACATGCAAAAATGGATGCAAAAGTATTGCGCTTCCACTTTTCTGTTTTAAATATGTCATTCCACTAATTAGGTAGGCACCATTTTAGACTATATTTTTGTAAATAAAGCCCAAATGGCACTAAATTTAGCTTTAATCAGTAATCCAGTAATAAGGAATACAATGCATAAATCACAACGATAGTTAAATAAGTTAATCTTACTTATCTATATCAACTAATTAGTTTGTTAATCCCAACCTGTTTTTCCCAGGACCCAGCTCCTTTATTGGTCGACGTATCAGTAAGCGGTAACAACTTACCGTTAAGCAAAGTACATGCGCAGATAGAGTCAAAAGTATTGCACCCCTATTTTTCCATTTTTAACTACATCACCCCACCAGTTTGGGGGCGGTAACCGCCGTAACATTTACTATGTTTTTACACTTGTCGTTAAACTTAGCTTTTACTTCACCAATAATAAAGCTAAGATGCCCGCCAACAACGAATCCAGCGTTTCCTTTCAGGTGATTTCTATATCTGTTGAGTGATTCTAATAGGAAAAAATTAAGACACACGGCCTATGAAACTTCAAGTGTATTTTTTTTTAAATTGACATTTTCGAGTCTCGATTTTTATTTATTTTTTCGTTTATTTTTGGCGGCATAATTCCGCCGCCACTGGGTCCCCTTACATGCGCCCCGTTTGGACCAATTATATTAAGCGCTGAATACAAATTGACTCTTTTGAAAAGCTAAACGGTTGGGTCTAGAGTTATCATTGTGCAGTGAAAGGTCCTGATGATTTTTATTTATATCTAGCCAATCGGGCTTTTGTGCTGTCCTTATTTGTCACACCGGTTAGAGTAGCGCACATAGTATTTATGTTCTTTTAATAACCGTTTGAGAGTTTATTTCGCTACCATGATACTTCATCCCCACGTTTTATTATTAATTTATTGCCATAAATTATCCATTAAAAAAAATTAAAAAAGTAGGACCGAAGCGTTCCGTTCTCACAATATTTTTTCGACATTTTATCGGTTATTTCGAATCTCAGCGACAAAATTAATAAGATAATCCCCTGTTATAAATATTAGTTTTTGAATGGAGGGTGCGTCGGGACTGAGCACCGCTGATTAAATAGAGCGTGAATCATAAAAGTATTTATTAAAAAAACACATTAAGCTATTTGCAAATAAATTAAGTCGGATGGATATCAAAGACGCGTTTTTGATATAAACAACTACTGTAATAACGAATTTGATGTACATTTACGGAAAAGTTGTGATGGGCTAAATCTTGTTTTAGGAATAAAATTCAATCGATAAGGAAGTTTTCAAACCGGTGCAAGAATTGCTTTTTTGGTACAATTTTAATCCGTTCGTTGACATCTAACGATAGTAGAAATAATTTAGGCGTGAGATTAACAATCTGCTTACCAATAATTGTACGGATTCGCTATCTACATCTGTTATTTGGTCACTTAAGTGTAACATGAACAGTAGCGGTAATAAGGACATAAATCAAGCCGAGTTTTAATTAAACCGGCTGTAATTATTTTATAAATAGCTTTGGTATATTTACCATATCTGTCTCTGATTTAGTATATTAAACAAAGCCGAGAATTATTCAACATTGCTTTTTATTGTCGGATTAAAAGCTTTATAAATCACGCTACGTAAACAAAGTAAATAAATTTAATTACGAGACGAGGGCGGAATTAATTACACATTCCCATGTATATCTCCATAACTTCCAAAAAAGCCGGGCTAGATTTTCGGAATGTATCAACAAGACAGGGCGATCAAGTTAACCCAACGATGCAGAAAATGAGTTGGGGTGTGTAGACCTATAAAGGTGTGTAAGTTAGCTGCCACTAAAGGCCTTTTAGCAGCCGGCTTGACACCTGGGCCTGCTCCCCTCCAGGGCCGGAGTGACAACAATTTCGCTGTGGTACCACCACAGCGGAGTGCAGTACCGGGGTATTACACACCCACAAATCTCACTCTTAGCGTCGCCTCGACCACTACCGCTTAGTCAAAAGTCGAAAATTTCACCCCCAAAAATTTTACTTTGCAGCGGTGGGATAAGCCGCCTCTGCACAAATCCTATTTTGAATGGAGTCAGCGAGTCTATTCGACACAGGAATTCATTGTGGACGACCCAAAGCGGCTAAAGTCAGCTGTGAATGGATTTTTACACGAACTTCCTGTTTTCGATGCAATTTGTCGTTTTCAATGAGTGCATTAACAATGACCATTCAAGACTGACTTTTAAAGCTGCTATTAGATTTAATATGGGACTTTGCTATTGTTGCATTACTTGAATGGGTGTCCGTACCTGAATCCGATTACTATCGTTGGACTATTTATTTTCGGAAGGTCTCCACCGATCAATCTTATTATGGCCGAGCTAATCTTTCACACATTCTGCTTTCCGATTTACTTTCATTGTAGAGCTGCGGCTGTTTAATCGCCAATTAAGCAACTGCCGCAGTCACTCGGGAGGAAAATCGTCGAAGAACACCAACAAGTAGGTGACTCGGGAAGATAATAACGAAGTGTTACGTGTGATTTTTCGTTTTGTGATTTCGTGTTGAGACAACAACGTGTGCGTGAAGATCACCTCACGCACTTCTGAGTTCTGACATAACCTCACTTTGACAGTCCGTCGTTGCACATGCACGATGTAATTGTTATTTGACTGGGAAATGTGGAAAATCGCCGTCTTTCCCCATTATGCAAATCGTGCGCGAACTACCCATCGATCTGGT